GGTCTCAATTCCCCAATCAAAAGACTCAGGCAAATTGGATCAAAAACAAATCCCAACAGTATGACTTATGCAAAACAATACATTTAATATAAAAAGCTCTTCAGAGGCTAAAAAAAAGTCAAAGAAAATAATATTGCATGCAAAGGAAACCCTACAACAAGCAGGGATAGCTTCCCTAATTTTAGAAAATTCTAACTTCAAATCAAAAGTGATGAGCTGATCCAAGGACGGTCAAGACATATTGAATATGGGAACAACTCAAAAGGAAGACATAACAATTATATTCACCAAACACTGTTGTACCCAATTTCAGAAAACAAACACAACTGAATATAATAGCTCAGATAAACATCAACATATATAGGTGGGGGACCGCAACAGTTCACCATCACAAACATTAAATGGGCAAATTCAACAGATAAATGTTGGCATTGAATATCACCTTTTCTCAAATAAGTTTAATGTACATCTACAGAGTGTACTACAATAGAATACATATTCTTTACAGCAACACATGTATCGCCAAAATTAGGCTGCGTGATAGTTCATAGAGCAAGCTTACAGAAATACAAAAGAATCAAAATTATACCAGACATGTAATCAGGTCATAGTGCAAGGAAACTGGAGATCAATTGCAAAAGAAACCGCTTTGAAATAAACATTCAGGGGAATTAAAAAATACATTATTTGAATGATCAATGGATCATAAAAAAACCAAGGAAGAAATTAGAAAGTTAAAATCAAATGATAATGCCAGTACAATATGCTGAAACCTATGGAATGCAACATAAGCAATCTTAAGAGAGAGTCTTATAGCATAGCTTATATCAGCAAAACACAGGTAGCCCAAATAGCCTAATGTTGTGCCACATGGACCTAGAAAAACAAGAATGATTCAAATATGATGATAGTAGACCAGAGCAAAAAGTAATTGTTATAGCTTGGAGTTTTGCAAGGAGAACAATATAGGACACATATTTTATAAGATTGTCTCTAATATTCAACCAGCGAATCATGTACAAAAAGAGACTGCAGTAAATCTGTACATACACTAAGAACCAAAGCATCCAGCTGAGACCCTGGATCCCATAGTGATATCCTTCATGAGTCCAGCTGAAGACCTAGAGCTCATAACAATGCCTCCACAAGTCCCTCTGGCAATGCACTCTAGATCTCCAGAGGGACCAGCATGACAAGCTCCTTAAAGAGAACCAACAGATTCTATTAGCTTCTCCAACAGCGTCCCACAGCCTCACTAACAACCTTCACCAGTTTTGCCTTTTAAGCTGCTGGCAACAATCCTAAGGTGGGCCTCCCACACGCAAAACCACTCCAATTCAGTTCAGTGGGTATTACAGGTTGACCACCAGTTTTCAATCTACTAATAATGAAACCAAGATTTAAAAAACAATGAATAGAATAAATGAATCAAAGATCTAGTTCATGGAAACGATAAACACAACAAACAAACCTTTAACCAATCTTACCAAATAGAAAAAAACCCACTCTTAAATCTATCCAATTACAAATGAAAAATGTGAAACCAAAATGAATAGCACCAAAAAACTAATTATTAGTAACTCCTCTGACAACTTATATTCTACTAAATTGGAGAATAGATGTATAGATTCTTGGTATCAAAACTGAATCAAGAAAATATAAAACCTCAAATAATCCAAAAACAGTTATGAAATTGAAGCAGTAATAAAAAATATGAAAACTCTAGGATTTAACGGATTCACCATTGACTTCTACAAGAACTTCAGGAAAACTAATATAAATAATTCTCAAAGTGTTAATAAAATCATATCCCTCACTATGTATTAAACTAAAATTAAGTAGACCAAATATATAAATATTAAAACAGACACAATCCACTAGGCAAAGGTATAAGTGAAAAATCTTGAAAGCACAAATGCAGGCAAGGACGTTTAGAACAGAGCCCAAAATTCACAAGAAATAATATCAAGAATCAACAAATACGTTGTATCAAATTAAAAATCTTCTATACAGCAAGGAAACAATCAAAGGAGTGAAGAACCAACCTACCAAATGAAAATAATTTTTCCAGTTATACCTTCAATAGGAAATTAATATCTAGAATACATGAAGAACTAAAAAAATAAAATCCCCAAAAATAAAAAAAAAACCAAAAAAAGGGGGAACTGAAAGGGCTAGACACTTAGAGGAAGAAGAATTGCAAATACCCAACAAATACATAAGAAAATATTCAATGTATCTGGCCATTAGAGAAATTCAAATTAAAACAACACTGAAATTCCATCATATTCCAGAAATAATGGCTTCATGTTGCAGAGACATCAATGTCAAACCAAATAAAAGACTCTGCACAAGGATTAGAAAGCAATTTTTGTTATGGTAGTGAGTTAGTGGGAATCAGTTCCAAATTACCAGCCCAGAGTTAGCTTACAGTTCAGTTTAAATACATTTTGCAAGCAGGAAGTATAAAGCTGATAGCAGATTATTACATGATTGGTTACATGAAGTAAATCATATGTTGTCAAGCAGGTTTCTTTCAAGCTGGTTTACTTAGAAGGAATTGTTTATCCTAAAGTGGGAGCATTCTGGGACAGGGGACTGTGAGCAGAGCGAATAGAGTTAAATGGGTCTTTGACGGGGCCAGTTTGTCCCAGACATAAAGTCCTTCAAGCAAGTTGGAAACAATATGTACTTTTCCAAGTAATGAAAACACAAGCTGGACACAGCCAAGTTGGCCCAGTGCATTATCAAAGAGAAGGAGCTGCACACAGATAGGACCCCTGAATTTAGCAGGCTAGCTCTGTGAAAAGCAACAGGAACATAGTCAAGGCCATTAATTGATTTTTAACTTTTGTTATAAAATATCCATAAGGTAGCTATTTTATAACTGCGTCCTTACACTTCAAGAAATTATGGCTGCAAGGAAAAAGACCCCTTTACATTGTTAGTGGGAGTGTAAAATAGTACAACCAATATAAAAATTACTATGGAGATTCCTCAAAAAACTAAATCTAGAAATTCAATTTGACTCAGCTATTCCCTCCTAGATATCTTCCTGAAAGAGTTAAAAGCCATCATAGTATAGTGATATAAACGGCACTGAATTAGTTTACAATATATAAAGTATCTGCCAACCACAAGCCAATATCTCAAGCCAATATTTTTCTTAAGGAGAAACAACTCTCAAAAATTGTAGTCAAGATCTGGAAATTGCATATATATGCACCACAAAGGAATGTTATTTTTAAAATCTTTGTGATATTTTCTGGGGTTTTTGAACTGGAGAATTTAAATTTATCTCCCAAAAGTATTTTTTAACCAAATTCTCATGTGCCAAAAGTGGGTAATCAGGCTACAAACGCAAGGGGTGGTGGGCCAGCAGCTTGAGGTATTCCAAACTTGTTGGCCTTTGAGACTTCCATGACACACAAAGAGGATATCCGGTCCTCTAGTGACAATCTGGGAAGAAATCTCCATAAACAACATACTATGATGAAAAACATTTCTGTCATATGGATTCTTGAAACACCAAAGAACCCTCTAACAAATTGTTCTCTAAAACAGCATTACACAAAAATTAATTTAAAATTTGGCAAGGTAAAGTGCCCCAAAATTCCTAAAGCATTGGTCCATTCGGACAAATTATGAGCACTTTTTATTTTTCATTTGTTTTATTTCTGCACATGGGGCTTGAAAATCTGATTTATTTTTCTGCTGTTTGTACTAAAAGCAAACAAACAAATAAACAACAAAAAAACAGTTCTTTAAGATTGCTTGCTAGCTGTCCCACCCAGCCCTAATGAAAACACAAGGTTAAAACTAGAGATTAAAGGGAAATGTTAACAGAGTTCTCTTAAATCTCAGTGATTGCTATACATACCACGAGACTCAATGAGGTTGCTGACTACGTTATTACAGTGCCAGCACGACATGACGTAGTGCACACAAGGTAAAATTAATTGCATTCAGTACTTATATAGTTCAAATTTATTTCTCTTGTCTCAGAAACACATAAAGAAATAAATACTTCAAAATGTCGTATGCTTGTTGAAAAGTTCTTTTTATTACTAGCAGGTCTTTTTTGACCCGATTAAATGTAACATTTCTTAGACGACAAGGGACAGAAGTAGAAAGGAGTTGAAAATTACTTTTGTAATACTAACTCAAAGGTACAGTAAGAAACTTCGTCTCTATCAGTTTATGAGATACTTTGGAGTTTCCCATTCTCGCCCGGAGCACGTGCGGAAGTTAAACTTTGACCCCGAGAAGCATCCTGACTTACAATCAAAGTGCAGAATTTCAGATCACAAGTTTAATAATATAATATTTCACATTGATCTTAACTATGTAGTTTTCAGAAAACTAGGATCTTGAGGCTGCCAGTCACTAATGTGGGCAATTAGTGTATTTTTCTTGAATAAAATTCCAAACAGTTTTTTAACGATATGTAGTTAGGGCAGAAAGCACATGTCCTTCCTACTAAATAGACTTCCTCCTCGGCGAAGATCTGGGAAGCTCGTTCATAATGACTTCTGTATCCTCCACCCCTCTTGAAACCACTCAGCAGAAGCCACACAAGGCTATAATTTCTCCAGCCTTCCTCCTGAGCATGCTGTGGGATTTCTCATGGTCTGCAGTGTACCTTCCCGTACGTTTAATTTTGAAAAGCTTTTATAATGCACAGGCTTAGCAGTCTTTGTGCAGAAAAGTAGACTTGCAATAGCTTGGAGTATTTTATGATGGTAAATTCACATTAAACCAGTGTGGTTATATTTAGTGTGAGCATTAAAGTTCTACATATGGAATAAATCCATATAGAGCATCTATTATTATTGAGCCTCCAAGGGAGCGGGGATGGCATGGAGATCGCCGAGGGATTCAAGACCCCTGGGAAGAAGGGCAACGAGCCGGAGGGCTGTCATCCGACTCGCAGCACTGGCGCGGACGCCGCGGGAGCAGCGCGCATGCGCACGGTCCGCGCGCCGTCCCTCCCTGCGCGTGTCTGCATCCGGGTCCTCAGCTTCGCGCTCCCCCGCCCGACGCTTGGGTTCGCGCCTTAGTCGCTGTGTTGCTGGAGCCGGCAGTTTCTGCTTCTGAGGTCTGTGGGTCAACTGGTGAGTTTAGGCGACCGGCTTGAGTCCCCTGGCGGGCACCTGCGTGCGGCTGCTCTTCCCAGGGCTTTGTGCCGACGGCGGACGCGGGCCGGTCTGCGGGTCTCGGAGCCAGGCCGCGGGGGAGCGCGGCTCCTCGCGCCGCTGCGCGCCTCTGCTGGCGCCGGGTGGAAGTGCGGACCCGCGGTCCTGTGAGTACCGCCGGTGCCGGCCCCGCGGGGCTTCCCCAGGTTCGGGTCGGCATGCTGCGGGGAGCTTAGATGCTTGTTCTGGCCTGTCCAGGAAGCAGCGGGCAGCTTCAGTGCGGGAGGCGTTCGCATCCATCGCAGGAGTTTGGGGTCGGGTGCAGCCGTGCGCGTCCCCCCTGAGGCGCGCACTGAATGAATCAGCGCCTGCGGGAAAGCCTTGGCAGAGTTGGGTTTTGCGTGCCCCGTGGTCACGATGCCAGAGTTGTAGTCTGCCGCAGCACTTAGGGTCTCTGAAGAGCCGCAGAAAATTGGAACAGGCACATTTAAAAATCTGAGTATGGAGGTATTTCTTTCCGATGAGTGAGAGGATTCAACCCGGAGTTTTTTGGGGCGTGCACACGTTCCTCACTGAAGAGCTTTAAATGAAACAAAATTTGCCTGCACTTTGTTGTTCTGAAGAACTTGTTTGAGGTTTTTTTTGTTTTTCCCCAGTAAAGTGTATCTAGTTCTTTTCCAAATTTAACCCACTTGTAAGAATCATCTGGGTTATATATAAATTTCTTCTACTCAGCTCTCTTGAAACACTGATCCAAAAGAGGTGCCTGTGGGCCAGTGAGATAGCTAAGAAACTGTTTAGGCAGGCACAGCGACCTGTCACAGAGACCGGGCGTGGTGGGCACACCTGTAATCCCAGCGCCAGGGAGGCTGAACACAGGAGGATCACTGCGAGTCCGAGAGGCATAGTGAGACCCTGCACCAAATACATTAAAAAAAAAAAAAAAAAAGGTGTCTGAAAATCTGTGTTTTCAATAAGCATGTGACAATTCATAAGGCATTTTATGAGTGGAGATCATTAAGTCAGACACACCTTCAGAAGTGCAGCTCCTGTAAAACTTAACAGCTTTATAACTAAATTTCTCAGAATTGCAATTTGCTAGATCTGTAGAGAGAGAATGATAATATCAACCTCAGAAACTATTGATTCTGTTAAGTGAGAGGGTCTTTAATCATGCTTGTGTCTGTAGACTCAAGCATAGTACAGTTGTAGGTCCTCATGAGTGTGTTTTGCCCTAAGTTACTCTATGCCCAGGACACAGTTGAAGATCTAATGCCTCCTCTCCTTAAAGTTGTTTTTTTTTTTTTTTTGTTTTTTTTGTTTTTTTTTTCCTTAACAATCAATTTGCTGAGTCTTCAGTGTCCATATATCCTTTGGCAATCATAGTAGCAATTATTTTTTTGTCTGTGGTGTAACTGTATTTTCGGCATTAGATTATTGACAAACCTTATTTGTTGGGCTGAATTTGACGAATTATTTTTCTCTAAATGCTATTTATCTCTTACTATTATTCCTGAATGCTAGACTATTGTTTTGTTGTGGAACCGGGGATTGAACTCAGGCCCTTTGCACTTGCCAGCGAAGTGCTAGACTATTGTGATCATCATTTTTTTATTGTTCTGTCAGAATTCTAAAGCATTTTGCTAAGAGTATACTTTAGATTCCATATATTCATTGTAAGATCTTCTAGTTCCGTTAGTTTAAAATATTTGATTTACAATCCCATGGAAAATGTGTGGGAATGTTGAAGTCATATCATCAAAGTATTGGAGTTGATGATTGACTTGTTTAAATATAAAACTAATAATTAAAATCAGAATTATGCTGTTAGAATACACTATAAATTTTGTAACTCTTCACAATACAAAAATATTGTATTTCTGAGAAATTCTCACATTTCTTATGTAAATTAAGTGTGAATTTGTGGTAGTAGACCAGTCCACATCCCTTAATCTGTACCTAATAATATTCTTTACCTTAATCTTTCAGGAACTAAATATTGCTTTTTGTGAATATATTTTTCACAGAAATAAGCCCTTTATTTTTTTCCTGCTGAATTAACTTATTAGAAATAGCATGTTTCATCAGCACATTCTTTAAAATTATGTCTGTGTATCATATTTGTATGAACGTATTAGATATCTGGAATGATGTATGTCCCTAGTAATAATGCAGATTATTTCTGAGTGGTGGGACGTAAATATTGTTTAACAGAGGGCGATACGGTGTTAGGGGTGAGCACAGCACTTGTCAGGCAAACATGAGGTGTCGAATTTGATTCCTAGTACAACACACACACACACACACACACACACACACACAGATTGGCATTATAATAGGAGAAGATTGGGTTATTGTTTATAGGGTGAGTTCTGGATGTGATTAACCAAAAGTTGTCCAGTAATCATTTCCATTAACTTGTGAACAAGTAATACTGGTTTGTTTCTCTTCAGTGTTCTTTTACATTGCTTCAGTGAGATGATGTATTGTACCTCCAGAGGAATCAGTGTTGTGGCTTTATAGTGAGGTTGCCTTAGTTTGAATTCTGGTTTAGTCACTATCCAGGTGACCTTGGTAAACTATGTTTTTCTTCTAAAACTGAGTATTTGCTGCACAAGATTAGAAAAAGACTAATATGTATAGAAATGAGCTTGCCGATTGCCTAAATGTCAAGGTCTGTTCAGAAGAAACAGTTATTATTACTGCTTCAAAGGTACCCATTATATTTTTATGTGTGCATGTTCTTGCTAGGTAATGCCCCTTTCAAAATCAATGTTATTGCACTTCTGTATGAGTGTTGTTCAATTACTTAAAGTGCTGTGCAATGGAATTTTCTCAGGTTCAAACGGCTTGTGCTGCAAGCGGTGCATCACTGTAATGAGGCTTGTAATTCTTGATAACTATGACTTGGCTAGTGAATGGGCAGCCAAATACATCTGTAATCGCATCATTCAGTTCAAACCTGGACAGAACAGATACTTTACCCTGGGCTTACCAACAGGTAATAAACAGCATTTTCTATTCTAGACACTCAGGTTCTTATAAGGTTACTCTGAGTAGAATACGTTTCCTGTCTATTACTTGGTTATATCACTAATTGAACATATGAGTTTATAAAGCCATATATGCATATGTGTGTGTGCCTATTGTGTGTATATACGTGAAATCTAGTCTCTACATTTTGTTACTATTTCCTGTGTTAAAATTCTGTTTCACCTTCTACCCCAAAATGCAGTAGTAAATACTGTGACTGAAATGATTGTCCTAGTAGTTTTATTTTTTTAACCTTTTTCTAGTAGTACTTTATTTTTAGGGGAATTGCATGTCACTATGCATATACTTTCTTAGTAGGTTGGTTTTTTTATAAGTCATGGAAGTTATTGAAGTATTGGTATTCCCTCTTAATTTCACTTTACCCACCTTGTAGTCTCTTAGTAGATCTTTGCTCTCTCTTTACTTTGTAGAAGCATTACAAGTGAAAACTTATTTTATTGAGCAAGATTATAATATTTTTTCTTTTTTTATGTATTTGGTACACGGTCTCACTACGCAGGTCAGACTCAATAGTGATCCTCCTGTTTTTAGCCTTCCCAGTGCTGGGGTTACAGGCATGCACCACTATGCCAGGACTCAGTGGCGGGCTCAGCACACCAGGGGGTGAGACTGGCGTGACCTGTGGTGCTGGGAATCGAACTCCAGTCCCTGCTCTTGCCTAAGCAGGCACTAGGTCAGCTGAGCTATCTTGCTGGCCCTCATTTTCTCTTATGGTGCTTAATTTGTCTTATTCGTACATGTTTACAATGTATAGTGATTACATTCATGATAGAAAGTAGGTACATGTACATAATACATTTTAATTTTTCTTTTACACCCTTTTCTCCCCTTCCTCCATCTTAGTTCCCTTTCCTTTTGCAAAAGACCGATCTTCCAATTTACTGTTATCTGTCTTTCATTTTGCTCTTTATTTATACTTTAGCTTTCTCATATAAGAGAACGTGATATTTAGGCTTCTTTGTTTGTTTTACTTAACATTGTTCTCAGCATGTTTCTATTTTCCTACAAATGATTTAGCTTTAGGTTTTTTAGGTTTTTTGTCAAATTTATGTTTTTTATGGGATAGTACTCAATTGTATATAAATACCACATTCTCTCTATGTGTTCATCTACTAATGAACATATAAGCTGCTTCCAAGATTTTAGCTATTATGAGAACAATATCAAATAAAGTCATGATCTTACAACGCTTTGTTAACCTTTGGCTTTACACGTGATATTAAATATAAAGTCAGAGCTGTTGTTTGATGATGAAGCTTGGTTTCCTTACCTGTAAAAAAGATCAAGAATAATAGTAGCTAAACCTGACTGTTTTTCCCTGTTCCAGAATGATATTCTTAGGTTGGATTTGTGTGCTGCTTGCTGGTTCTCCTTCAGTCCAAGGCAGTCCATCTTGGTGAGGCTGTCACCGGGCAATTTTTGTGAATCAGGCACACCACTTCTGCACACCCATAGAGCACCCTCAATTCTGTCAAGTGAGCCCTTGTAATATTTACTGTAAACCTGGGTTATTTTTAGCCTTCCTGTATTAATTGCATTGTTTTCATTGTGATGCAGAAATAGTAATTTGAGTGTGGGGACTGAAAGCCCTTAGCCTTAAAGTCCTAAGTGCTATCAGTATTAAACATGTTTTCAGTTACAAATCTAAAACTGCAGGTTTAGTTTTGGTGGGATAACTGCGTAGGATGACATCTGGCAAGGGAATACCTCTGGGAACCCTTTGTTGACATTCTCAGGCAGTGTTAGTTATGTCCTCTTTCACCTCCCTAGCAGCTTTGAAATTTGAATATACACATTTGTGATTATAGATAACATGACTTATCCTGGCTTTTTTCCCATCAAGCAGAATTTTGGGGAAGTATCTGTTTAATATATACTAGTGTGATTTTAACGTTTAAAGCATGCTATGGGCCTGACCAACCTCTCAACCTCATTCCTACCATTCTCTTCCGTTGAATTGGGCCAGAGAACAATACTAGGCCTAAACTTGCTGCCTGCTTTTCCTTTTTGTTTATACTCATCGTGTGTATATATGAAATGGATGTAAATTTTGGAACTATCCAAGTCTAAATTTGAATCCTTGTTTTCACAGCCATTTGATATTGGCAAATTCCTTAATCTTTTGAACCCTGTTCTTCTATCTCAGAATGAGAAAGATAAACCTAGTTTCCCAGAATTGTGAGTTTTACCTCAGGTTAGGTACAAAACTCCAGCATAGCATCTGCCCACATGGGAGGCATACAAGCCATCATCTGTAGGTCTCATTTGCCCAGCCCTGTCTGTTGTGTGTTTTCACTAACAGCAGAATTTTATCCCTCCATCAGGATTTAGTTGAGATGTTGTCTTCTTTGATCGTGCTTCCCACAAAGTTATAGTCTCTTTTCTTGATACACTGCAGCACTCTAGACTTGTATTTAGTTATTTATGTTTTCTCCGGTGTTAAGATTATTTTGTGCTTGTTTTTCCCTGTATTTTTCTCAGACAGGAAAAGTCCTAATTATCTTTTTTGTATCTAAATCATAGTAGATATGTGTTAAATACTACTTATGTTGGAAAATGACAATTGCAAAAAGAATATTCAAATGAAATTTTTATCAGTTTAGTCTGTACTATATTTTCCAATTTTTTTCTTTTATGCATTGGTCAAAAAGTAGAAAATGAATATTTTGTCTTTACCATAGTAGCCTCTTCTCACTTTTTAATCACATATCTTTAAATTGAAGGACTTAAAAAGGAAACAAGATTCCTTTATGCATTCCATACTTTGGGCAAGTCATGTTTGTGATTGTGTTAATCAGCTTTCTGCTACTGTGACAAAATACCTGAGAAAAGCAGCTTAAAGAAGCAACTGATTACTTGGGCTCACAGTATGACCAGAGGTTTCTGTCCATGCTTACTTTAACCCTTTTGTTCTGGGTCTATGGTGAGGGTGAACATCATGGCAGGAAGCATGAGGTGGAGCAAAGCTGATCACCTAGTGTGGCCAAGGAAGGGAAAAAGAGAGTAGAAAAGGCTAGGGACAAAGTACACCCTTCAAAGGGAAACCTCGCATGACCTGCTTTCTCCAACTAGGTCCCTCTCCCTAAGGTTTCTACTATCTCCAAATGGAGCTGTGCCGACCTTCACTGGTTTTAGTCCATTGATGAGGTTGGAGCCACCATGATTCCCTCCCCTCACAGTAGCCCTCTCTGTGTTTGAGATGCAGTCTTCTTACTCTGGAATTTCTTCCTTTTTTGGCCAGAGACTGTTTAGTATTCTGCTTCATTACACAGCGTGTATGAAGTCTTTTGTTTGGTTTTGTGGTGATGGTTGACCTGGAAGTCAGTCTGTTCTAATTAGATTAGGAAGGCCAGGTACTTATAAGAGTGCAGTCAATCTAGCCTATTACTTTGGTGTTATAATACAAGATATAGCAAATTCAGAAAACAAACAGGGACCATTCATATTGGGAAAATGTGTTTGTTGTATAATGCCTTGAGGCACTTTCAAACAAAATCTTTTTACAAAAAATAAAATAAAAATGAAGTATTCAATATGGAGATTATAGCTCTCTGTATCTTAAACAATGCTTTTTCTTGCTTACATCTTAGCTCATACATACTAAAGATAACATGAAATGAAAAATAGAAGCTCTAGTTAAAAGTGGAACTGCTAGTTCCTCACTGAATCTTATCAGATTTAGAATCAATTTTGCAAATAGGGGCAATATTAAAATGAGCTCTGGTTTCTCTGTGGATTTGGGTAAATGATCAGTATTTAACCTAGTTGTATATTAACTGTGTTAAAATTTAAGATTTTTCTGTCTACTTTTTTCAATAAAAAAGATTTTTCTTCGTCTTTATTTTTCTTTGAACTCAAATAAGGCCTCCAGATTTTGTTAGAATTTACAGTATTATTTCCAGAATAAATTTTCAAAGTCTAATTAGCCTTTCTTTAACAGTTCTCATCTACTAAAATTTTCAAATACCTTGCAAAAAGAATAATTCAAGCTATATTTGTTAATAAATGTGCATTTAATGATAGCTTGCTTAATTCTAAATGAACAAGATTAAGAAATGAATAATTATATATAAAAATGACTTTAAAACAGATTTTTCCAGTTATGTTAGAAAATTAAATCTTTATCTGTTTTAGGGAGTACGCCTTTAGGATGTTATAAAAAACTAATAGAGTATCACAAAAGTGGAGACCTTTCTTTTAAATACGTGAAGACTTTTAACATGGATGAATATGTAGGTAAGATATTTTTGATTATGTTCAAATGATACTTGAGTATGTTTTCTGTTATATTTTGAATAAAAGCATTGTACTTTAGCATATTAATATATAATTTGGATTTATGTATATCATATAGATATATTGTACTTAGGATATACTGTATGTTGTGATGAGATTGCAGATTTATTTGAGATTGCAAATACAGATTTAAAAATCTGTAAGTACTATATCATTGAAAGAATATAAGACTATAAATTAGAGAATCTGCATTCATCCTTTATAAGTTATAATGTGTTACAATTATTCATTCTCCCTTTCTCTCACCCTGTCCTTGAGGCATAGTTAAAAGCAATGTTGTAAGCCAAGTGTGGTTGTCTGTGTCTGTCATGTGTGTAATACAGCACTCTGGAAGGCTGAGACAGGAGAATACCAAGTTTAAGTTCAGCCAGACTGATGAAGCAATTTAGGAAGACTCAGTCTTAAAAAAATGGCTTGGAATGTAGCTTAGAGTGAAGAACGTGGGTTTAATCCCAAGTAACACTAAGTGAAAAAATAAGCACGTACTCACATAAAATAAGTAGACAACATGGTAGTGATGAATTAAATGATGTGTATGTAAAAGTAATTAATAATATAAAGATTTTTTGGTCTAAAGACTACTCATCTTAGTATTAATGAAGCTTTTATAATGCATTGAGTGTAACTTCCTTAAGTGGAAATACCCTAAGTGAAAATATCTCTGATATATACCGTCTCTGTAGGAAGACATTTTTAATGGTAGCACAAGCAATAGCAAAAGAATTGTTGCGAGTCATTGTACTTGGAGTAGAAGAGGAGGGACATGGCCATTGTTTCAGTTGGACAGTTATTTAATACATAAATCAGTTTCGCACACTACCATTTTATGTGTTGGTAAAGTGTATAGTGGTTACGTAAACATGAACTAACTTCTGGTGTTTGCTCCCCAGTCCTTACATGAGCTGTATTATCACCTTGGGAAAAATTCTCTGTTTCTTGCTCATCCATAAAATGAGAATGCTAGTAAGATTTCCATGGATGTTTCATAAATTAATTCTATTAACATATACATACAAGTTAATTAGTGCTGGATATATGCTAAGCATATATGCTACATAAAATATTTTAAACTGGGTATGGCATAAAAAGTTAAATTTCTTTGTGGAAATTATAAATTTTTTCTTTATGAACCTATTTAGGACTTCCGAGAAATCATCCTGAAAGCTACCATTCTTATATGTGGAATAACTTTTTTAAGCATATTGACATAGATCCTAATAATGCTCATATCCTTGACGGGAATGCTGCAGATTTACAAGCAGAATGTGATGCATTTGAAAGGAAAATAGAAGAAGCTGGAGGAATAGATCTTTTTGTTGGAGGTATGTAAGATTTTTGTCATTGTTTGCTGATATTTGAATTAAGTGTTTTAAGTTTTTTTTAAAAAGAAATTTACCATTGCACTATCCAAAGAATACTTGTGACTGTGATACCCATCCTTTAAAGTAGAAATTCTAACAGTTAATAGTCAAAATTGTTTAAATTGTGCTTTAAGAGGTAGATTCAAGTTCCTATTAAACTCTTCTGATTACCTCTTTAAGGCTGACAATTCATCACATCTCAAAATAAGTGACCTGTTTTTTCTTCCTACTTTTATCTTTTTCATACTTTTTTACTTGCTAGTTTCATAGTTTTTAACTACCTATAATTTTTACAGCTTGCTTGTGAAATAAGAATTGAAGCTAAATGTTAATGAGACATGGGTGGATTTTAGCATATCATTTAAATTGCTGCATCTCACTGAGAAAAATCAGTTTAAAAAAATTAACATTTTATTTTGTCTTCATCCCTTGGATAATATGAATTAAATTTAAATTTTCTTAATAGATTCCAAAGAGACTGAGTATTTAGTTTACTAAGCTTAATTATATTTACATATTTTATGTATATCTGTGTGTGTGCATAATATACTGAAAACAGTAAGGGTTTCTTTCTAATAACATTTTCTGTTAATACGAAAGGTCAGATACAGCTAGCTGGTAGCCATAGGAATAGCATATTAATTAAACTAATCCCACAATTTTTTTTTTTTTTT